TCCAGAATATATGCACGGCCCATCCAAGGATGGGCCACAGGATTTGGTTAGATGATATTTCGCAAAGGGTGGTTGGTTCACGAACATCAGTGGTGCACGATTTCGTCCAAAGTTTGCGTGACACGTGTTGCGGCTTGGCTCGGCTTCATCTTCGAGTTGCGCAGAAGAGCGTGGTCTGATGTTCGGTATTCAAGGATGCCGTCGAAGTTCCACGTGCATTACGGCGAACAGGGCTTGTTGTCAAAGCGCAGCGCACGGCAGCCTACCTTGGTTCAGATTCGGGCAACGGCAGGGCGCATGCGACGTCGACTCGCCGCGCTTGGTCCCAGACGTATAGTCGGATGCACGATCAGGTCAGGAGCTACGAGGCAGCAGGACGACGGACTCGAGCCACATCCAAGCTGGAGAGGCTCGGGGCTCGGGCCGCAGGGTCCTACGCCTACCAGGTTCACGGCGCGCTCGGCGTGCAGCTCACGGCCCATCGGCGCAGGGGGCAGCCGCGGGGTCGGCGGCTCGAGGTGTAGATATCTCACGACGCTCCTCGGACCGAAGGCTCCAGAGGACCTCGCGCTGCGTATGCCCGAGGAGCGTGTGCGCACCTGGTTCCGCATATGGCAACAGGAGCCATCCTTTCGAGCTGGAGTGCGCGCCGCGTGGCCGGCGGTGGCCGCTCACCTCAAGGAGGTTTTGCCGACCCATCGCTCACGCTACATGAGGGGGCCGCTGTCGGCGGTAGTGGCGCTGTTGCGGCACAGCGGTTGGGGTCCCCAGTCTGCGACTTGCTGGGCCGTGCCGCCCACGATCGGGGGAGCGTAAGACCCGGGTTTGCCAGGACTCGGGTTCGCCATCGTTTTTTGACGACCGCGCCTCGGATTTTGACGAGGAGGAGTTTCGTGGGATGTCTGCAGCGGGAGGCCTCGTCAAAATGCAGGCTCGGCCTCGTCATTTTTTTGACGACCTCGTCGGGGATTTCCGAGTCCCCTGTACCCAGGTCTTACGTCCCCCTGACACGAGACTGGGGATGTCATCGAGTGGAAGTTTCCCGACGCGGCCTGGTCGGGCTTCGTTGACGCTGAGGCGCCCACAGGCCTGGCGCGTGATTTGAGGGCATCCGTTCCGGCCAGGGTGCGGCGGGAGGCTACGCCGAGCACTTCCTGCTGTGCGCGGGCGTGGAGCACGGCGTGGACGCGACGTCCGTGCGCAGGCTCCGCCAGCAGTTCGAGGGCACGCCGAGAGGCAACCGCATGGCGGAGGTGCTCGCCATGGTGGTCACTTCAGAGCCCCGAATCATCAGGGGTAACTCGGGTCATGGATAACTCGGGTTCGGTTTTCGGGAATCCGAACCCGAGTTATCCCGGACCCGAGTTACCCCGGATAACTCGGGCGCCCAGAGCCCCGAATCATCAGGGGTAACTCGGGTCAGGGCTAACTCGGGTTCCTTTTTTCGGGAATCCAAACCCGAGTTACCCCGGACTCGAGTTATCGCGGATAACTCGGGCGCCCAATCACTGGGGGCAGCTGGCCGAGGGTTCGGCGCGTCGACGCCGCGGGGGCCAAGGCACTTGGGCCATCGCGTCTGTGCCCGAGGTGCGGCGAGCAGGGCGAGACCACGTTCCACAGGGTGTGGGTGAAGCTGCTCCAGGAACGCGGGGCCGCTGACTTACGAGCGCTCGCAGGACCTTCTGCCCCAGGCGCTCGGCAGACACGAGAGCGAGGAGTGTTTCTGGTCGCGGGGGTTGCTGCCAGCTCCGTGGGCCGCAGCGACCCCGCCGCCGGAGCAGGAGGAGCGTGTGTGTGTGTGTGTGTGTGTGTGTGTGTGTGTGTGTCGGGCGTCGCGGCGAGCGGCTCGGCGGACATCGCGTTCGGCGTCGGCGCCGAGCGGGCCCCGCTGCGGCTGTTCGCCGACGCGAGCGGCGACTCTGCCGACACCCGTTTCAGGCGGGTTGGCTTGGCGGTTGTCTGCGCTGCCGCCTGCGACCCGTTCGCGATCGTTGGGGCTCCGTCAGGGGGCCTCCCTGGCGCACGGCAGGGTGTCCCGTGGGGGGAGTTGTACGCGCTGCTCGTCGCGATTCACATGTCCAGCGGATTTGTATAGCTTGTCACGGGCAGCAGCGGCATAGCCGACGGATGGGACGCTCGCAGGTTTGTTCTACCAGTTGGCGAGGGCGCCAACCTGTGGCAAAGCATCGGGGTCGCAGTCGCAGCCAAACGCGACTCTGAGTTTGTTGTGTTGTTCGCCAAGTCACACCTCTCACCGCATCAGGCGGTGGCAGGCGAGGCGCCATGGCAGCTCGTCCAAGGCAATACGGCCGTGGACCTTGCGGCGAGTGCTGCTGCCAAGCGTCTCAGAGTGCCCGAGCGAGAGCGGGCGCGTGTTCACTTGCTGAAAAGGATATTTACCATATCAGGGTTCGCCTGATTCTGCCACCACCGAATCCTTTGAGAGAGTGGTTTGCCGAAGAACAGAGAGGCTGCGCGCGAGGTGCCACCACCCCCTGCACCTTCGGTCTGCCACCAGTTTGCAACCAACCATTCGCTTGACGACTCTGGCAAACGCTGTAACATGTGCTGTAGTTCTGCTACCTTTGCCACCTAGTCCGAATGGATTTGCTCCTTGTTTTTTCCCTGCCTTCGTGGATGGCCGTTTTGCCGCGTTGCCGTCGGGGGTTAAATTACATGTAGGGGTGGGCTGGGTACTCAGTAGTTGCCAAATGCGTTAGCATCGTTCCATGGGCCTCCGGTTTTGCTCACAGTGCGGGTATTATGCCAGGAGTGTCATCCGATGTTGGGGGCAGGTCTGTCTCAGGCGTACGAATGCGAATCGAGCTGTGTATTTGAATCGGATCGAGTCCGATCGTTGGCCGAAGGCTCTAAGCAAGGCCGAGAAGCTAGCCCGCAAGCGTCCGTAGGCGTCGTTTCGACTGTCATCGCGACTGTTCTCACTCACTCACTCTCTTCACGTGTCTGTTCACACGTGCCACCGCTCATCGTGGTCATACCTCCGTCGAGCATCAGAGCCACCGGATTGATGTGTCTCATCGAGCTTGATACAGCTGTCAAGATATTATTGTGATGGATATTTTGCCTGGAATGTGCCATGTCTTCTGTCGAAGATCTGCCCAGCTGACTAAATTTGGACCGAGGCATAAGGTCGAGGCCGGTTCGGGGAAGGTACCCTGATGTTCTTCGTGTTTGTTGGATGTTCTTGTGCATCCTTGGGAAGGGTGCCCATGGTTTGGGGCGTCTTGGCCAGCGGAGGGTCCCATGTTCTTGAAGGGTGCTCTTCTGGCCCAGGTTCGACTAAAGGCTTCCTCGCCCCCTTGCTGTGAGTCTCCAGGGCCCAGAGCTATGATCGTCGCGTGCTGCGGCACGGAGGGGAAAACCCCGGCCCCAGGCGCTGGACGAGGGCAAGCACCTGCAGAGGATGGGAGGGACCACGGCCGGGCAGGTTCGCACGGAGGAGTGGGGAGCACCTCGTCGAAGTTCACACCAAATCGGCGGCGAGCGAGGGAGGGGGAGGACATCAGGTTCGAGCTTCGAGGTTCAAGGTTCGAGATGGTTTCTTTTGTCGTGTTCGTCCTCTGGGGGCCTTGCCGAAACTCGATCCGGAGTGCAAAACCGCGTCGGATGGACCCCAAAAAGGGTCGGGGGACCGATTTTGCCAGATTTTCGGCGGCGCGCCCGGGGGTGGGGCAAATGAGAAGGCGAATGCCTTCTCAGAAGGCTTGGAAGTTTTCTGGGCCGTTCGCGAAGGCACAAAGAAAACCTCTCAGAAGTCGCGAGGGCTTCTGAGAAGTCCCGCCGCCTTCCTAGAAAACGTTCTCCTTCTCTAGGAAAGTGAAAGCGCCATAAATATAAACCTGTGGCGTTCCGCGCGGATTTCTTGGATCTGTATTTGGCCCCCCCCAGGCGGTGCCTCCGGCGCCGCCAGGGAGTCCAGCGCAGATCCAAGAAATCCGTGCGGAACGCCGAAAGTTTATGTTTCTGGCGTATCGCGTTTCTTCTTCTATTATCATGTCCCCCCTAGCTCACCGCCTAGTAAAACTTGGACTTCTCTTTTCGGAGCTCCGCGCGGCATTTTTTGATCGTCGCGCTGGGAGGCCCCCTGCGGCGCCTCCAGCGCCGCCCCCTCGCGTGCTTTCCGCGCGCCAGGGAAGAGGGGCCCTGCGCAACTCCAAGACATCCGCGCGGGGCTGCAAAAGGTAAGTATAAGTTGCTGCAGATCTGTAGTGTCTTCTAGGTGCGCGTTGCCGAAATGAATTGTCGAAAAGAAGCGGAGGACCTCTCAGTGAAGCAAAGATGGTGTCACCAAGAAGATTGCGTCCACTTGTTTGTGTGATTCCCTGGGCCCCTTCAATGAGGGAGGGAGGGCACTGTGAGGAACATCCCCTGGAGGTCCTGCGCGGCGCGCCACAGTTTGGTGCATCCTCTGGTAGTCCACACGTCCGCTGCGTCAGGTGCGGGCCGACGTTTTCGGGCGGCGATGCTCCCGCGGAAGTCCGACGCGACTCCGACGTGAATATTCCCGCGCCAATCCGACGTATACCCGTCGTACATATGGCGTAGGTCCGACGCAAGTTGGGCCTCACCGTCTGGAGCCAGGACGAGGAGCAATCCGTTCCAGAGCGTTCGGGAATGTTCTCAGAGGGTTTCGGAACGCTCTGATAAGGCCGCGGCGCCCGAGGTATGCTCCAGAGCGGCCAGATCTCAGAGATTCCCGATTGCTCCTCCAATGTTATTTTATCTTCGACCCGGCTTCGTCGTAAGTTGTCGCGCGAGGCATCACAGGATGTTCTTCAAGAGGAGCATCGGTACCATATTCTGGGAAACGTAAGATTGCAGTAAGCCGGAACTCGGGTTAGCCGACGTTTTTTGACGAGCGCGTCCTGGATTTTGACGGTCCAGTTTTTAATGGGAGGTTTGCCGCGGGAGTTCGCGTAAAGTTTCAGATTGGGTCTCGTCATTTTCGTGATGGCCCCGTCAGGCCAACCCGAGCCCCCCGTACCCGAGTCTTTCGTCTCCTCGATATATCAGCGCTCTCTGTGCCCTCACCGCCACGGGGTGGGGAGGCAGCACTCTCCCGGATACGGGAGACAAGTGTCGCCGAAGCAGGCCCACGCGGCGCCGCTGGACGAAGGCGGCCGCGTCCTCTCTCGTTGTTAGTGTTAAGTCGGGCATGTCCCTCTGCAGGAGGAAATTCAAAAAATGGTGACAAAATAGTCTGGGGACGATTTTCCCATTACTGTTGACGATTTATTCCCTACCTAGGCTCTGCCTAGAAGGGTTCTTACTCTCTTAGCTTAAAGGGGCCGGGCAATGGAAAGCGCCCCGGGCGGTTCCCCCGGTCCCCTGGGAGCGGTTCTCCCCAGTCCCTTGGGAGCTTTAGCTTTAGCTTTAGCTTTAGCTTAGCTTTAGCTTAGCTTTAGCTTAGCTGTAGCTTAGCTTTAGCTTAGCGGTTTGCTTAGCGTTTCGCTTAGCTTTTCGCTTAGCGTTTAGCTTAGCTTTAGCTTAGCGTTAGCTTAGCTTTAGCTTAGCTTGAGCTTAGCTGTAGCTTAGCTTTAGCTTAGCTTTAGCTTAGCTTTAGCTTAGCTTTAGCTTAGCTGTTGCTCAGCTTTAGCTTAGCTTTAGCTTAGATTTAGCTTAGCTTTAGCTTAGCTGTAGCTTGTCTTTAGCTCAGCTGTAGCTTGGCTTTAGCTTAGCTTTAGCTTAGCTTTATCTTAGCTTTAGCTTAGCTGTTGCTCAGCTTTAGCTTAGCTTTAGCTTAGCTTTAGCTTAGCTTTAGCTTAGCTGTAGCTTGGCTTTAGCTTAGCTGTAGCTTGGCTTTAGCTTAGCTGTTGCTCAGCTTTAGCTTAGCTTTAGCTTAGCTTTAGATTAGTTTTAGCTTAGCTTTAGCTTAGCTGTAGCTTAGCTGTGGCTTAGCTTTAGCTTAGCTTAACTTTAGCTTAGCGTTACTGTTACTACTAATGCTGCTTTCCTAGGGGTTCCAACTCCTAGGTAGGGCCGCACTTGGATAATTTTTAAGTTTTTTGGTTATTTTTCATTTTTCTTTCCAAATTCCGCCTGTAGGAGGACATGCCCGATCCAATGTTCGTGCCTGGGTGAGGAGGAAAAGGTACCCATGCCGCTGCCCTTTCCCTGTTTTCCCCTTTTGTTGGCCTTCTTGAGAGGCCCTCTTCGCCACCGCTGGATTCGCTTCAGAATCCTGGTCAGGACGCGCCCAGGGAGAGGTACAGGGAGTATCGGCATGGGTACACTCAACCCGCATAGTAAGGATGGCCAACCTTCCCAAGGGTACCCTTGCATCCTGGCATCCTCGGCTCATCCTTGGCCGCTTTCGTTGGCCGCGCCCTGCTCGCAAAGCCTCGAAGTGGCCCTCCAAGGCCCCTGCATCCTCATCGTGCGTCCTCATGATACGGGTTGTACCTTCTGGTTTCCCCAGCCTGGATGCAGTCCCCGGGACGCGGCGAGGGAGGGGCGACGAGGATGAGAATGTGTTTTTCCTCCCCCCTGCGAGTGGGGTCCGTCGGGCCTGGGCGGGAGGGCGGCGCCACAGGCGGGCCGGAGCGGAGGTAGGTGCCGTAGTTTCGAGTGCCTTCTGGGGCAGCGGCCATTTTGCGGTTGTCGTCGCACTCTTGCCGCATTTTGGATGTCGGCCCTTCAAGGGCAGCCTCTTGTGCAGCGCCGCCTTTGTGATCTTCCGCCCAGGCGTGGAGGAGGACAATGAAGAGGACAATGAGGAGGAGGAGGAGGAGAAGAAGAGGGAGGAGGAGGAGGGGGAGGGGAAGGGGGAGGAGGAGGAGGAGGAGGAGGAGGAACGATAAGCAGGATAACAGAGAGGCGGTAGATGCTTGTTCGAGCTCGATTGGCATGTGCGTGCCATCGCCCTCGGGTGGGACCACACCAGGGTGCCCACAAATGGCACCGTGGTTTCGAGAGGTCACCGTGAATAGGGAAGGAGGGGATAATGAAAGTAGAAACACATGGATTATAAACATCAGTTCTGGAGGCTCCGCAGGGATTTCCTCGATTGACGCTGGACCCCTGAGCGCGCCAGGGAGGGGGGCTCAGCGCCGATCCAAGAAACCCACGAGGACCTACGGTAGGTTCGCGTCGTGTCGACTGGCGGCGACCCCGTCGCGGGCATTCAACGTTGAACGCCGCCGGCGACCCATAATCGGTCGATGTTGAACGATCTGACGTTTCGGAAACGCCCGATCGTTCAAGGTTGCACGATCCAGCGCGGTGTCAGAAACCAACGCTGGGGTCGACACGACACGAACCTGCTGTACGAAAGTTGTTTGTATATTGTATGTTCTTCCTCTTGGACTCTTGGAGGAGGAGGGAGATGGGAGGAGGAAATATGGGAGGAGGAGGAGGAGGAGGAGGAGGAGGAGGAGGAGGAGGAGGAGGAGGAGGGAGATGTGAGGCGGAGATTTGCCAATATGCACCACGTGCATCCCTCAGTTCAATCATCCTGACACGCTGTGGTGGGGATGGGTGGAGGATGAGGTGGAGGAGGAGATAGAGAAGGAGGAGGAGGAGGAGGAGGAGGAGATGGGAGAGGGAGATGGGCGGAGTAGGAGGATCCTCGATCCCCCTCCCGTGAGATCCGACGCTGCGGAAGAAGTGCAACACCTGTTTGTCGCACCTCGCGAGCTGGATCGTTGTGTGATGGCCCTCGGGCCAGAATGCGCTCGGCATGAACCAGAATGCAACGCTCAGATATCAGGGGATATACAGTGGAGACCCATGCCAAGGAACACCCTGCTTGCCTCCAGGGTGCCCTGTTTTTTTCTGGGCTTCGATGGTTTTGGTATGGAAAGCGTGACGTTCCCATCCCAAAAATCGATGAACGTCCTGGGGTCTCAGGGTTGGGTTTCTTGTGGAAGGTTTCTTGTGGACAGGCCTCCACTGTATTCACACCCCCGTCGGCCACCTCCGCACCCAGCAGCGCAGCTCACCCCCCCGCGGTGCGGCGGCGGGCTGGCGCGGCGGCGCAGCAGGATATCTGGCACGCCCCCGCAGCTATTCGGAGATTGGTCCTGCCTCTCGGCTGTCCCTTCTCCGCGGTGGCAGCGAGATGGCCCAATGACTGCTCGGTGCGAAGAGCGCACTCCTTCTCTCCTCCTCCCCCTCCTCGTCCTCGTCCTCCTCCTCCTCCTCCTCCTCCTCATGTTCCTCCTCCTCCTCCTCCTCCTCCTCATGTTCCTCCTCCTCCTCCTCCTGCTCCCCCTCCTCCTTCTCCTCCTCCTCCTCCTTTTCCTCCTCTTTCTCCTCCTCCTCCTCCTCCTCCTCTTCCTCTGTTGTTGCAGAGCCCCTCTCGGCCTCTCCTCCTCCTCCTGCGCCTCTCTCTGTACTCCTCTGTGCGCCGCCCTATTGGCTCACAAGGGCCCTTGAGCTATCATAGCGTGCCGGTGACGGACGCGCCCGCGCCTCCGTAAAATGAAGGAGAACGTGCTCTCTTCTAGCACGGGTCTCCCTACTTGTGCCTCGTGTCTGTCTGTATCCGTACAGCCAGACCCGTACTACCCAAAGTGGCGGCGGAGCCTGTGGTTGAGATCCACGAGGGGAGTCAGGACGACTCCCCTGTCATTCGATTATCAGGTGACATTTCCATTCCCATTCTCCCGTTCTTCCCGCTGTCTACCCAATTGCACCGAGCGCAGCCATGGATTCTACAGACGACGCTCAGCTTCAACAAGATGAATGTCCAGCTGATCTTTGGTTACAACCAGATCAATATCCTTGGAAAGTAGCTGGAGGACGGCAGAACTATCCTTGGGAAGGTGATGGCGATGTGGGCTGGTCGGTTCAGGACTGGGCCCGCTGGTTCTCGCAGCCATGGACGGAGACGCGGCCCAATACGCAACAATCTTCATCGGGTTGGAATGGGCGGGGACGTGGTTCGTCGGCTGCACCAGATTGGCAGAACACGCCTCTGCGAGAACAGGCCGTGCCTTTTTGTTTCTTTTTCCCCGACTTGTTGGGGATATACCACTGCCCGATCTCATGATCGGCAACGGGGACAATTTCTTAAACAATCGGAGACCCCCAAAAAACCAAACGACCTACCTCCCATTTGGGATGGAGAAGATTCGGATATTCGCTTAGACCCCACATAAAAGAGCTGCAGATGTGGCTCGCGACTACCAGAATTTTGGAAGGCGCAGCGTGGATACTTCATCTACCGTTATGTCAAAGACGACCTCAAGATCAGTATTAACGAACTCGCTCAGGACCAGTTGTCTACCGAGGACGGCGGGCAGGTTGTGATGAAACACATCCAGAAGGCTTTTGCCGAGTGCCGGGGCCGCAGGATGCCGAATGCTTTGCTTTTTAATTCAGAAGACACCAAGCGTAAGCGAGATGAACCCTTGGTTAATTATATCGGGCGTAGCGCGTGCTTTTCCGATGCCTCGATAAGGCGCATGATCCTGCCGGAGGACTTGACGGGGCAAATGCTCAGGGGCCAGAGACGGGGTAACAGCATATGGGGTAACAGGAAACGGCCGGTTCGAGGCAACACATGGCCTTTCTGTTGCAGTGCAGTCTTCTTTGGTTTTCGCGTTCGATGCAGCACCTTCCACATGCTGGCTGCGTTGCACATTTTCGGCTGCTGCACTGCAACTTTTTGTTTTGGGCCCTTTGTTGCCCGGTCTGTGGGGCTTGTTTGCAGTTTGTCCGCAACTAGTGGCCAACAAATTGCAGTGCAGCTTTTTTTGCGTTGCAGAAAAATGCAGTGCATGTGTTTGTTCGGGTCGTTGCAGTTTTTCCATCTGGATCCCATGGTGGGTCTGTTACCCCGTTCAGGCGCTACCCGGTTTAGTGCTCCCTGACATGCTTCTGACAGAATCCAGGCTCAATGGCGCAGCTTGGGATACGGCTGAGTACTGGACCGAAGGATCCTGCGATTTTTGCGCGACTATCTTCGGGAGCTTGAACGACCCCAGGCTTCTGGCATAGGCGGTCATCGCGCCCGCGGCGCGAGTTTATCCTCGCATTTTGTCGGAGAGCAAGGAGATAATGACGGATGCGAGGACCTGGAGTGAGATCGCGACGAAGTCCATTTGACTATCGCGCAACAGTGTATGTTTACTTTTGCCCGAGGCCTACGAGGAAGAGGAGATCATGACCATG